AAAGATATTGCAATCATTACATATTAGGTCACTGTTGTACTTCCTCCCAGTCATGGAACAAGGAAACAGTTGTATGAGTTGTATGGCTGCATAATCCCAGGTGCACCCAGTCAAAAGCCCTAAGGGCTTTCCCCAAGTCCAGAGCTCACTTTCAGAAGATTAGATTTAGTTCTACAGATTTCAAATGTAAGCACAAACACACAGGCTTTTCTAACTTAAACGCAGCTACTAGAGAGCTCTAACAGCTGAACACAACATTAACAAGTTGTTTATGCAGAACTTAAATGCTATTCAGATACTGAAGAATGTCACTAATATGTGAGAACTAACTTTATAAGGTCATTAATCATAACAAGTAAATTAAATACAATAATTACCATGTTTTACAGATGGTGACATTGAATACAAACTCAAATAGTGCACTATTTGAATGACAAATATTCATCTTGCAATTTACAGAAATTATTTTTCCATTATTATATTGAAGTTGAGCATTTTTTTTAAATCTAAGGCAAGATGATAACTTCTAAGAATGCCAACATACTGCTGCTCTACTTTTGACTGCGTTTTTTGAAGGTTCGAATCTATACGCTTCTATTATATTGTGGTAGTTTATGACCAATACATTTCATTATAATTAATTCACACACTGGTATTAGAAGCCCTAATATTCTATTTTCCTGCAAGTCATTTGATAACTGATTGAGTTTAAACATATGCAACAAAAATATGTGAGGTTACATAACTTGTCATATTTCACAAACAAAAGTAATCTTTCAGATTTAAATGTTTGGAATAAAGAGATTTACATGATGGTCAGTATACCACCACCCGTATGAGAATGTGAATATGGTATCTAATAATATCAACAATTTTAAGATATTCTGAATACTGGTTTGTAAAATGTATTTTACTGTGTCTTACCTAAATATCTGTATCTTACTGTATCTGACCTAAACAAACATTTTTACAAAGATGGATTCATAAAAGATACTGAATCCAAAGAGGAACATTTTACATGTGCCAGCTAAGGATTATTTAAAAAATTAAAAAAAAAAAAAAATTAAGCAGGGAGAATAGACTAAAAAAACCCCAAGCCAGTAACTAACTTAAAAATATATGAATGGGAGTCAGCAAAAGACTCTAAATTAAAATAATTAAAAATGTAAACTTCTAAACACAGGAAGATTTCATAGATGCCAAAAATGTTGTCACTATTACTCTAAAACAGTGTTTTACCCAAAGCAAAATTTTCCTTTCATGTCTTACATTTATTTTCCTATTAGAACATTTTAAATTTGTGATTATCACTTAGGAATCCTGAAGTCCTGTCATAATAACGTATTTTGTCCAACTGTAGATTTACTACATTTTATCCTACCGTTATAGGTTGGGACTTAAGAGAGTATATAGATGGAGTTAGATGTACACAAGCACGCGGAGCAAGTCCCAAATCACTCTAAGCAGTTCTCTAAACATTTCAGTTCTGCCCAAATTGAGTTTCTAACAATTTAAATTCTTCTTAGTAACTATTTTACTTAAAGGGCAGCTACAAGTAGGACAGAGGTCATCCTCTTCACAAGGAGCTAAAATGGAGAAGACAATGGGCAACAGGTACAAGTTGCACTGGGAGAGGTTTAATCTTGAAGCAAGAAAGAAATTTTTACAGTAAGAACAATCATTCACTGGAACAACCTGCCCAGGGATATGGAGGTTTTCAAGAAGTGACTGGACAGAGTGATGGATAATCTCATCTACGCTCCCTTTGCCATGAAAGTTTGGACCAGATGATCATTCAGAGTCCCTTCCAACCTTGGCTGCTCTATGATTCTGTGATTCTATTTTAATATCCTCAGTGAATACTACCTCATGGATCTATCATCTGATTGATTTGAACTATAAAGATAATACTTGATGTAATTTAATACCTTTTTATGGATTTAGTTGTACTTGTTATTCGACAGAAGTTCAACAGAATATCTCTTTAGTTACACAGATAAATCCACTTCTGTTCATATGTTACTTAGTATCACTGAACAAAGTTAAGTTTCTGAATCAAAATATTGTACTTAAAATACTCTCTTAAGTATTCTTACAAACTACAATTACATCAGAAAATAAATGTATCAGAACTCTGAAAACAAACGGAAAGACTTGATTGTGGGATATTGTATAAGCTATTTTTACAGTATGTTGACAACTTGAGGTCAGTAAGTCTCTGTGAGTAGGCTGCGATATCCCCAAATGACAGTATGACTACATTCCCTTTTCCTCCTCTTTTAGTTTTTCATGTAATAAGAAAAATACATGAGTGAGCATACAGCTTTCTTAAAAGTAACAATGCACCCTTGTAAACAAGCCTTTTACTTATATCTCCCTTATAAAAGGAGGAATGATTCAAAAAATATTTCCCAGGAAAAGCATGTTTGAATAAATACAATTCCAGAGAGACAGTAACATATCTTAAGAACGATGGTTTGTCCTGGAAGTCTTGTTCAAAGACGGAATGGAAATTAAGAGACTCTCCCAATAAAAGTCCATAAAAATTATTTACCTCTTCATAGTAAGAAACAAAGAAGGTGATTTAAAAGCTTTGATAAAACTTCTTAATAGACTGTTTAAGGAGGACTTTTGGCATGGAAGAAGGCAACAGCTCCATTAGAGAATCAAAAATATCAAGATTGTGAGAACTTCTGTTTGGCATTATTCCCAGAGCACAAAGCCACACACAAATAAATTCCTTACCACAGGTTTTCTCCCAACCAGGGGGATTATTTTCTTTCACTAGGATCTTTCCTTCAAATCTGGGTTTGACAAAATTCAAATGACTTCTTACTTTCATAAATGGTTTAAATTACATCATCAGTTTAAAACAAACAAAATATTTTGGTTAAATTTATTTATCTTTTATCTGTCCCTATAATTAGCAAATTAGATCATTCCTACTGAAAGTAATTAGGAAAAATACACACAGATCTTTCTCTTTCTTTTTTCTTTCTTTCTCTCTTCCCCCCCCCCCTTTTCAGTTGGCAGCATCTGTAATATGACTTTCAGTATTAAAAACTACAATTTTATTTTTGTTGCTGTACATTAAGGTACAGGAAGGAGGAGAAGAGTCCAATATAAGTGGCAGAAACAAGGGAGAGGGAAAACACTACTATAAATCCAAATGAATTCCAGATGGCAGGAGCAAGAGTAGCTCTTAAATGTGCTTTTGACTTAATTTTTCATAGCATGCCCTTTATAATTGTTTATGTTTCAGCAATAAGTATGCAGAAAACAGAATTTTCCAGAAAATGCTGTCACAAAAGCAATGGAATAAGTGCTTGCACAGTGTTAAGGTGTTTTCTGCTTCTCACACTGCCCCACCAGCAAGTAGGCTGGAGATGCAGAGGAAGCTGGGACAGCTGACCCGAACTGACCAAAGGGATATTCCATGCCATATGATGCTGTGCTCAGCAATAAAAGCTGGGGGGAACGAGGAAGCGGAAAGGCATTCAGAGTTACAGCATTTGCCTTCCCAAATAATGGTTATGCATGATGGAGCCCTGCTTTCCCAGCAACGGCTGAACACCCGCCTGCTGATGGGAAGCAGCAAATTAATTCCTTGTTTTGCTTTGCTTGCACATGCAGCTTTTGCTTTACCTATTGAACTGGCGTTATCTCAACCATGGGTTTTCTCACTTTTACCCCTCCAATTTGCCTGCCATCCTGCTAAGGTAGAGTGAGCGAGTGGCTGTGTGGGGCTGAGCTGCCTATGGGGGTCAAACCACAACAACTGGCATTTCCATGAAATTTTGAATTTGGTCATGAGGCTACATCTCATGGATGCCATTAAAATAAACCAAAACCCCAAGACTCAAGACTGTGAGGAATACTTGCCTCACCTATTTACAATACACTAATTTTCATATGAATAGCTGTAGAACAAGATTTTTACTTTAGTACTTCATCAGAATTCTAATGCAAATCCATTTACTTTGATCATTTCTAAGGACTTTATTTAAAAAAAAAATCTTATTGAACATAAACAGCTTGTTTTTACTTGCTAGGTCCTTTACAGCTTAACCCCTCCTTTCATTTCTCAGTCAGCTGTGGAACAAAAGCTGATTCTTCCCTCAAATTGGTTTACAACTCAAACCTCTATCAAATATTAGCTTTTCAAATAAGAAGTACCGTACTTTTTCTTATCCTTAGTCTATGCACAAGAGCATCCCCCTGTAAACACTCGTACAAACTTTGTCTTTTTTCTTCATATCTCTACAAAAACCTTACTACAATCCCTATAGACACAAAATAGAACACAATAGCTGCCTGTCATGATGACCAAAACAGTCTCATTCTTTTCTTTTGATAGTCTGCTATATTTCTGAATTTCTTTTCTCATCTTACACTGAATCATAGAACATCTCAAGTTAGAAGGGACCCATAAGGATCATTGAGTCCAACTCCCTGCTCCTCATAGGACTACCTAAACTAAATCATATGACTAAGAGCATTGTCCAGACACTCCAGGGAGTTCCAGTGACCAATCACGGTTTCAGTGAAGAACCTTTTCCTAATATCCAATCTGAATGTTAGATCTAAGACTCTTCCCTCCCACCCCTGGCAAAGGTAGCATGAGAAGTTTTTCCTAACCTGCCTCTGTTCTGGCTTGAAATTCATATTTCACTGCCCACTCCTGTTGTGTGTCAAACCAATTATTTGTGTCTACACAGTAACTTGAATGACAAAACCAATGAAGGTAAAAATTGCACTTCTGAGTTCTTTTGGCTTTAACAAGCATACAAATCATACCACAGAACTAGCTCTTTGATGATCAGTTTCACTTTGATTTCCATGGGGTAAATCTTGTCATTAGTATTTCTAGCCATTGATAACACATAACATACTGCTAAAAAAGCAGCACATCAGAAGTTTTCAAAATAAAATGAAGATAATTTTCATAACTGTAAAAAATGGAAATTAAAGAGCAAGCTTTTTTGAGTTTATCACACTACCTTCTTCCAGGATGGGTCTCAGCAAAACAAACGGGATTTCCTGCAATGGTTCCATGTGTTTGTGTCCAGCGCTCATTATCTTTATCTGGGGCAAGCAGATGACGAGTGTGCCAGGCATACTGGCCTGCCCATGGTACCAGCTTCGCACAGTCCCAGGAATGTCACCCGATACAATAGTACTTGGGGAAGGCAGGCTATCATTTGGAAGGAATACACAACAAGATTGCACTTCAAGCTGAAAAAACAAAACCAAGAAAAATTTCTCAGAAACAGATTACCATTTTTTCCCACCAATGTGGAGTATTCATCTTGGTACAACATCTCAAGTTACTCATCCATCACAGTTGATTGAAAATAGTCTTAGCTTTTAGTTGAATTAAGAAGAAAGATGACGTAAGATGTTGGAAAGCAATATACTCTTGTAAATTATGATTATGGGAGAAGAGGGAAGAAGTAGTGTGATTTTTGTCTGTAAATTTGATCAGAAAGGTGTTGCCATATAAACCGAACATACATTTATCTACATTTCAACAGGATTTTACAAGAAGTGTAATTGAGTCAGAAAATGTTTTCACAATAAAGCTGAGAAAGTCCTCCTCTTTTTGCAGTTCATTAGCTTTTGCTAGCAATAGCTAAGCCTCTAGAACTAACCAACATTTTTATATGCTGTTACTTTCTATAAAGACCTATTTCAAGGAAAATTCTGTCTTTACTTTGTAGTCAACAGTAATGAGCATGTACAAAAATGTTAGCCATCAGATAAACTAGGAAAAGTATAAACTTTAGTGGAAAACTGACTTTAAAACAAAGGGACAGATGCATGCATACACAAAGAGAAAGAGAAATGAATAGAGTTCATTAATTTTATACAACTTTTACCCTGTTTTCATTGCAAATCAGAAGCAGTGCGTACTGTTTAATATGAAATAGCATATTTTGTTGTTTATTTTCAAGCAGTGCTGTTACCCTGAAACATTTCTGACCATTCTCCCATCTCCTTATGAGCTTCTAGTAAGTGTGAGTGAGCCCAAACCAAGAACCGAACTCACCATGACTTGTTAACTCAGAGGTGGTGTAAGCTGCAAACTGTTAGTCTTCCTTGGCTCTTACAAGTAATATTCTGCACCTGGATATCAAATAGCCCTAACAGCCTGCGCACTTGAATGCTTTGTTAAGTGAGTACAAGCTATGATTCAGTTCACTTCTTCACATTGTTTGGAAAAGTCTAGTGTACAAAATGTTGGACACAAGATGTTATTTGTAGCTGGGATAAAAGAACATTTGTTTGCTGTAAACTTACATAACAGAGGCTTTCAATTTGACATCCTTAAAGACATCACAGCTTAAAACTGATAACCAAGGTTTCCACTCCATACCCTCTTCTGAAGGCTAATAGTCCCTCTAGACCACAATAGTGATTTGTAATAGAGCTGGAATTCCCCAGCACCATAAGTACTTTGCCAGCCTAGTGAGGAGAACACAGATATTCATCTTTATTTCAGCATTTTTCTGCTCTTTTGCTTAGACAAACTGACAAGAATTCACTGCAGAAAAATATAAGTAGAATTTTGCAAAAATAAATATATTGTTACATGAAGTCTGTGTTTGTTTCTAGTTTTAGAACTGTTTGAGTTGTAAAAATGAAGTTAATTACATCTTTGATAAGTAGTTTATTGATCCAAGGTTGCAGAGTGTACGTTATTTATACTGGATGAAAAGCCATGGTGTATTGTTACAGATGTAATAGATTTGGAATTTTTTTTTTTTTAAACTGGTAAATTAGTTATTGTGTCAATTTGCAAAGTTTTACAGTGACACATTAGATCGTTTTCCGGTCTATTAGTAATAGGTTGCAGGTCAAGCCATTGTGGGATAATGATAAATAGATGACAAAAGAACTTATGATCAGTATAACTTTTGTTTTATCAGTGCATTTGCTGAGTAAACAGTTTATAACAAATAATCCATTCTTCATATGTATATCCATGATGATTAACATCAAGTGCTGCCTGGATATACAAACCATGTGGTAATAATAATAAAAAAAATTCCAACAACTTGGAGAGATACTATACTTCATCACATTACCAGCAGCAGGTTCTACAAGAGATGTTTTATCTCTTGAGAACACATCTCAATACTCAGTAGAGATTTACAGTTCAGTACAGCTTTGTACTGAAGACAAGTTCTTCAGATCATTTTTGTTTTATTTTACTCTGCCATATCAAGAATATTGAAGTGGAACCACAACAGTTTCACTCCTTCAAATGCCTAAGAGAAATTCCTGTTTACATGGGCAGCTACTTTGCCATTCATTTTCAAACAGCTAAGTGGGAGCTGGACCATGAATTTTGGTGGGGTTTACATGATAGCATCAGGCTCTCCATATGCAATATTACAGATTTTCTTACAGCTTTCTTGTGTTTCATTTAAAGTTTTATATTAATAAATTTATTTTGCAAAACATTATCACAGGATTTCAAAGGCCAATGCAATTAATATACAGCAAAATTCCACATTTTGGGGCAAATCATGCAATTATTATGACTACTTAAGAAACTGACAACTTGGATGCACAAGGGCCTGATCAGTGCAAAATTGAATTACACCTGTTGAACTTTTCAGAGGCAGATTCTGCTTACACACAGCTATCGATTTCAATGGAATTTGTGTACGCTGACCTGACAGAATCTGGCGATCTGTCTAACAACAAGTTCCAGTGAAGAAATGGAAGAGTGCACCTAAAATTATGGAATTACATGTTTGACAAAAGTGAGAATGTGTGCTACAGATTGCTTCACCAATCAGAAAGTGCTTTCAAATATATGTAATCCAAATTCTCAAAATTAAAGTACATCAATAGCATATATTAAAGCTATCATATAAATCTTTTTACACTTTTTAAATAACTGTTAAACTGTGTGTCTAAAATTGTGAATTTAATGTAAAATGTGACTGATTTATGTAACTGAATATAAATCTGCAGCAGTAAATCTTGCATTAATGTAAGGATCTGACAATCCAAGGGAAAGAAAATGAAGTAATCTGCCAGTAAGAAGTCCTCAAGCTGGGGGTCAGATCCTGTTCATGGAAACCATCTGGTTGGGACCCTCCAAGCCACACCAAACACAAATGATCTTTTAAAAAAATATCCTATTCATTAATGCTTCGCAGCTGCACTGAGCGTTACTTCATTTTTCCATGGCAACATCCTTTCTGTTTCAAGGATCTTATTTCAGTTTTGGTAGCAACGTGTTCTTTTGCCAATACTGAACACATTCATGTGTTAAAGAGAAGGAATTATTACAAATTCTTGAAACAGAATCACCCTCTATTTTCTTTTCTGTTATGTCAAGGCCTATACATGCTAAGTAACACACACTAATGATAAACCAATGAAGTAAGCAGTATTTTCACTTCTACTTTTAAAAAGTTATGCAAAGCATATTGCTCTAAGCTTTTACTAATATATAAGCCTAAAAAAGTGCAATGAATTTTAAAGACTCTGTTGTATAAAAAGGAAAGTATTCAGTTACTGGAATAAATGGAGTACTTTTAATTCATATTTTATAAAAGCAGAATGTTGCTCAATAGAGAGAACAGTGAAATATATACTGCAGAAGAATTCGGTCTTCCTAACAGAGGGTGGGTGGAAGGGAGTGAAACAAAACAAGTGAAACACCACAATTACCCTGCAGAAGTGCAATGAAGAGGGACAGGTTGTACAAGAGACTTTACAGCCTTTCATGACAGTGATACTATAAGGAAATTCCCTTCCCTATCCACATTTTATAGCTATATAAACCAATTAGAGGCACTGAAGATGACCCACAAGGTGACACTCACATAAAAGTGTCTCCTGGGAAATGGCCTCTCTCTGCATTGATCATCATCCATCGCCTGGTCTCAGCAGAAAGGCTAATATGTTTTCCTACGAGTTTCAGATACAGAATATAATCTTGCAATGACTCCCAAAACTGCGAAGAACCACAGTTACACGTCACATGTAGGGGTTCTGGTGCGGTCCTTATTATAAGATCATACCCCAGCCTCTGACATTAGCTCTACTCAAGTAGACCATCTGCAGTTCAGCCAGACGCACACTGTTTGTTAGAATTTAAAAAGGCAGGCCAGAAATTCATGTTTTGAAGTTAAGACAAAAAGTAAAAATGATATAAATAGAAAGCAGAGCACATGGGTAAGAGAACTAATAGAGCAGGCTACTTGTACGTACAAATGAGTATCATAAGGATCAGCTGCACTTTCTTTGACCACTTAAAACACAATGTCTTAGCACTACACAGTATTCCTATTCTTTTCTAAGAAAGATTTATTTTAAAGTTTTTATTTAGTTATGGAAAAATTCATTCTTTGTCAGTTTGTTGTAAGTAATCAACTTAAGAAATCATCCTATCTCATAACTGCTGTCACAGAATCTCTTCCTGACCCATGAATAAAGACCACTGTTAAAAGAACAGGAACTCTAGTCAGCCTCATCCTTACGTTTCTGTTCCTTCAATCAATGTTTCACTTTGACTAAAATGTTGTACAAATTATATGCTTTAAATAAAAATATTATTTTCAATAATTTCAGGAAACAGACTCATTTTTCAAATAATTTCAGGGATATTTAAAGGTATGTGGAATATCTGGCTAAGTTTTATATGCAATAATTACACTCTTATTTAGTTGGCATTCACTGCAACATCACTCATTAATTAATTTGCTTTTAATACAGGTCCTTCATTGTTCTCACTGGAATTCAGCATTAACAACCAATTAAAAATAATTGTGTTTATACTGATCCACAATTTTAGCAACCACGTGAAAAGTGAGTATTATCCTCCTACACAGTATAACTGCCAAAAAGGCTTCAAGGCTGCATATAAAATCCTACCACAACTAAATAATAAACCCAACTTTTTATAGTTAAGTATGAAAGTCTTTTCACTTAAATACTAATAGCTTACCACATCTCCAATGCACAAAACCTTCATGCAATATTCAATCATGAGCAAGCCAGGGCTAGGGCTGAGCAAGTACCAGCTTTGGATCCAAAATAAATTTTTCAGTTACTTTGGTTCTAAACACATTTACTTAGTCAAACTTCCACTAAAAGAACAATCCTTTGGTGATTTTAAGTTATGATGTTCTGTTTCATCTGACAACTACAGAGTTTTCTGTCCTAGAATCATGTTAATAAAAGATCCAGGAACATGAAAACAGTTTTAGAAAAAAACCTGAGTCTAAGTGCTCCAGCATTTAACCAGAGAAAATATTCTAGAAATTTGCATTTTTCATGCCAAATGATAATAAAATACAGAAGATCTGTGTGAATTTAACATATAAATATAATCATAGAATCATAGAAAGGTTTGGGTTAGAAGGGACCTTAAAGATCATCTAGTTCCAACCCCCCTGCCATCAGCAGGGACACCTTCCACTAGACCAGGTTGCTCATAACCCTCATCATCTTACCCTCTATACCTTGCCTTGCACAAATCTCAGCTTTCCCATTTAGGCTGGTATTGAAGGAAAAAAAGCTATATATATATTTATTTGTGTCTTGAAAAATATATTTAAATAAAACAGACATAGGGGCTACTAGCAATAATAAAAAGAACAGCAAGCCTATCTATAACTTCTTCATATTTCACTAAGAAAAACTACTGTATATTTGTTTGGAAGCACATTCTTGGACTTTCCTGTGGTGTTTCCTTGGAGTCTGTTGAAACTTTTCACTGCTAACATTTAATGTCCTTCTGGCAAGATACTGGCATATACTTTATCAAGACTGATCAAAGCATAAGTATGAAACATATCAGAAGTGTTTAAGCTGTTGTATGAATTCACAGGGCTATTTAATTTCAACACAGATAAAAACTAAAAATATAATTTCATATTCATAATGATGAAAATTGAAAGCATGAGCACCTTGCCAAAAAACCCTTTAAAAGTTAAATAAATCTAGAACCCCAAACATCAGATATCTAATACAAAATAATCCTCTGCCAGTATTACCTCTAATCCAAGAGTGTAATTATGCCAGAACAGTGATATATTTACAAATTACTTTCTGAGAAAACATGTGCCTATTACTGTCACCAGCTTTCATCTCTGTTTTGAATACAACCTCTTTTTTTTCTGTTTGGTAACAGGCAAACTTTATTTTCAGCTGTTCAGTATCTTAACCATTATTTGAAACAAATTCACTTTGCTGGTTACTAATGTAACGAAGTGTACCTTGAAAAACATACAAGCAGAGTATCTTAGCCCTGATTCAATTTTCCCCATTTATAAAAGATCCAGCTCTTCACCATCCTCATTATTTTATTATTATTTTTATTATGACTCAAACTTTAAGCCTCACTTATATAGGGAGTCTCATTGTGCTAGGTACCACCCAGACACCTAACAAAAATACAGTGCTTCCTTCAAACAGCCTACAAATGATCTCTCTTGACTCCCCTTATCTAACCACTTCAATCACCAGTGGTGACAACATTCAGAAATAAAGGAAAACAAATAAAATATTCATGAAACAATGATGAAAGAGCTGTCTGAAAACTGGCGTTAATAGAAAGCATCTCCTCAACTTCAGTGTGTTCTGTAATCAAGTCATAAGGCTGAAAAAACAAACTTTTAACCATTCTACTATTTTGAACCCAAAGAACTTTCTGCATGAAGAAGGAGTAAGACAGACAGGTTTTGGGATGAGTCTGTATATAAATAAATGTATTTCTCGGTGGGAAAAAGGAACAGGCACTCAATGATTACTTTCTATCAGAAATATGGAGGTTTTGTATTTTTTTAAATTTTATTTTAACACAAGTTTTGTTACTATATGCTGGTGTACCATAAAATACCAATCTCATAGAATGTACTGTTCAAAATGCAGAGATTATATTAATTCTAAATTAGGGTAATTTCTAAGCAGGCACTTGATATATACTTGGAAGAATGCAGTCCTAATTCTAGCATTTCTAAGCCATCTAGTATTTGATCATACAATCTTAACACTGGACTTCCCACATGGCTTTTTTTGTGTATAGCATGCATATATACTGCTACGAGAAAACAGCTGTTACTGATCAGCGATCACAATCTAGAGCAGTCTAGGATGAAATGGTTTAATCCCAGTGGTCATGTACGTGTCCTTTATGAAAAGGTAGACAAGCAAGCAGCTGAGCCATCACTATATAACACATCATACTGTATTATAAACCCCCAAAAGAAGTATTTATCATACACATTTTCCTCAAATATTTTTCAAATCATAGTATGGTTTGGGTTGGAAGAGACCTTAAAGATCACCTAGTTCCAACCCCCCTGCCATCAGCAGGGACACCTTCCACTAGATCAGGTTGCTCAAAGCCTCATCCAACCTGGCCTTCAACACTTCCAGGGAGGGGACATCCACAACTTCTCTGGGCAACCTGTTCCAGTGTCTGACCATCTTCACAGGAAAGAATTTCCTCCTAATTATCTAACCTAAATCTACCCTCTTCCAGTTTAAAAATGTTGGCCCTCATTCTATCACTACCTACCCTTGTAAAAAGTCCCTCTCCAGGAAGGTATGCTGCAAATCTAACTGTGGGTAAAAAGGTGTATAGCTATGTTTATAATACAGAAAAGTGTGACAATCATTTTTTCTTCATATAACTTTTTTAAGGATCTTCCCTTTAGATATAAAAACGTATTTTGAAAATTAATATCCTAAAACCAAAGCATTCTTTGCTTAATTTACTAAAAAAAAAAAAATCTCTATTTTATTTTTCATTCTCTAAGACTTTGAAACAATTGAAATAAGACAATAAAACTTTGCAGCTCCTTTAAAAACTCTCTAATAAAAAGCACTCGAATGCATAAAATGTATCATAAAATCTGAAAAGACATAGGGTTTTTTCACTTCCTTTTCATCTTACCTGAAGTGTAAGGCACTTAACTGCATTCCACACTATTCCAATAAATTCCTTCATTCTTTCTTCAGGACTTCTGCAGCTTTCAGATGAGTTCAGCATGGTTTTTGCAGGAAGTGACAAAGGACGAGATTCTAATGCAAACAATAAAATTCAGTTACACAATCGTTAGAATATATAACTAATTAATATACTTACTGGTACCAAAGAAAAAGATTACTTATTTTAAATTCTAAAAGAGATTTATCTCTCACTATGTATGTAATAATAATGTGTCTATTATTAGTTTTAAAGTTGGCAATACAACTGTATCAGTTAAGCCTGATGAGAAATGCAATTAAATCAAATGCTCAAATTTCTTTAATGTAAACTGCTAAGAAAATATTATGAAGAATGCTTGACCTAAGCAAATTAAGACAGTTTTCAAAGTGTGATAACCTATGTGGTGATGGAATAGCAATCCAAGAGGTTTTCACATACATTGCTGACAGTGTAATCTAAAAAAGGTTTTAGTTTTCTAAATTTTTTGTATGAAAGACAGGCCATATTAAATTACAGTTCTTGATATGTTTTCTTTAAAAAAATTCACTTAATGAAAACTTGAGTATGCTTCTCCAAAAAAAGGCATAAAATTTAAACCATTTTCTTACTTTGTCAGACTTAAAGGTACTGTAGTATGAAATATTTAAGCAAAATTCAATATCGTCTAGTAAAAAGAAATTTCTTTAAATTGCTTGTTATTTAATAACATGAATATGAAATCATTTTACATAACAGAAGTATTTAATTGAATACAAGCACAGTAGAAGTTCAAAAGAGGACTAGTGAGGAGATCAAGTAGTAACTACAAATTCATTAAAGACTGCATGAGTGGTACATAGTTCCTCCCGTCATCTCTTACAGAATATCCTCCTTCTTATGTTTTGGGATACCCATCAAATTGTCGTCAGCTTCTTCAACATTTCC